TATATATATATATATATATATTTTTTTTTTTAATAAAGAAGCAATGTTACGACGTAAACATAATGGACATTAGAGAGATTTAAAATATAATCAAAATGATTAACTTTAGGAAGAAGTCTGAAGAGGGAAAAAAATAAACTTTTTTTCTACGTTTTTGGGATGCTTTTTGTATTTGTTGCACCACTCTGGCGTGGGATGTTGTTGTTTAAATGTATTAGTACTTTATTTACTGATGTATTTCTTATTTTATTTTTTAAAAAATAAGAGAAAGAAAATATTACTGAGAACAAAAAGGGACAGCTCCAATCTTGCTAAACCGTTCTCTCAAAAACAGCCTTTTATCTGCTGCTGCAGATAACTGCAACCTTCCCAGAACAACCATTTTTCAGAACATTACATATTTCTGAACAACATAGCAGACAAAAAATTCCCAAGGAGTATATAATATATACTCATTGGGAGTATATGTTATTATACTCCCATATACTCATTGGGAGTATATGTTATTAAGAAATTTATAAGTATTTTTATCTAAAACAATATTCCAATGGATTTTACTGCTATTATGTCTACTATACTCAATGTGAGGCTTCTAAGTCTATTGTCTAAACTTGTACACAAAATCTTGTCTTATAAATTCTTTTGATTTCAACTCTATTTATATGAAACTTTAAATTACTGTGGATTAGCTGATGATTGTAGGAAATATTAAATAGGTACCAATGTCTAATCAATAATTCAGGAAAATACCAAATAAGTATTTTGAAATTAAGCCAATATTTTGTGATTATTTTGCAAGTTTTCATTTAAACTGTAGACAAAACAATCCTTATTTTTGACAACTCCTCAGTGAATATGGGCTTTGCCCCCAGATTTTGCCTGTTCTTGACCGCCTCTGTTTAAACTATTCAGGTAAATGTTATTAAATGAAAGTTCGTCACACCGATTAAAGCTTTCAGAATGATTCTGACATGTGTTAACGTGGCGTCTGTCAAGGTGTGTAACGATAACCTTTATTCAGTTCAGATGGAGCGAGGCACAAGCTAATGTTAGCTCCTTTAGCTTCTTGATGCAATCAGATCAGCGACACAAAACCGGGCATACGTCTGACTTTCAGATGCTAAACATGCACAACCTCGGAGTAATTACTCGGCCGTTGTATATTAGCTGAATTAATTGTTTAATCTCCAAAACTTACCGAGTTTACGGTTAGCGGTTAACAACCTGCTTTTATTTATCACCGCCTGGTGTTACGCTGAAAACGGTCCGATAACCAACTCATTAGTTCCGACCTAAACCGTAATTTTACGTTCTGATCATCCACCAGTGACGGTGGCTGCCAAAAATAGACGAGTACACATTTGTTAAAAAATATTTTAGTTTCTTCTCGTGTTTTAAATGATACAAATAAAGTCATAGGCCAAGACAACCGAAATAAAGTAAAAAATGTTCACATATTTCCAGACAGGCAACTAATTCGGATACAATTCTACGCCTATGACAGTAGAGGGCGCTGTTTCTATCTAAATCTATATATATATATTTCTCCCGCCACAGAACATATATATATATATATATATATATATATATATATATATATATATATATATATATATATATATATATATATATATATGTGTGTGTATAAAAACATGGCAGTGATAATTCTGATCAGTATGGACTAGGATAATAAGTATAAAATAAGTTTTAATGCGGGTATAGGAGCTATTTCTCCATTTTCAGTTAAATCTTAGAATGTAAATTGTTTAGTTTATTCTTATTTTTTGTTTATTTTTTTAGTTGATTTATCATTAGAATTTTTGTTTAATTCGTTATTTAGAATAAGTTATTTGATTAGGAATTCACTTATTGGTTAATTAATTTCAGTTGGAATGTGGGTATTTCACGGTATAAATAGGTGGGTAGCTTATTATGCACGTGGGTGGTCACAAGGTGTTTTACCAGTCACTTCAGTCATCAGTCAGTCATCAGTCAGTCTATTAGCCAGAGAACAGGTGCAGGAGAAGCAGAATCCTGTGAAGTTTGTAACCTTGTTGTCTGAACTATGGAATAAAACAACCAAAGAACTGCATTTCGACTTTTGATCTTTTGGGTTGCGTAAACCAGAATCCACAGTGCATCAGGTGACTATTTGAGTTAGATTCACCTTTTGTTTTGATCACCTCTGAGTCTTGAGTTTTTTTATTTTTGAATTTAAGTTTTGGGGACAAATAGTCACTACAGCGGGTGAAACCAATGTTGAAAGAAAAGCGTGTGTGTATGTGCGTGTGTTGTGTCTCGTGACAACAATAAATGTGAACTTTTTCACTCCTTTTTTGTGAACCAAATGATTAATATTTAGAAAACTACTCCCTCTCCACATATGTATTTATTTCTTTTCTTGTAACTTAGATGAGTATAAAACCTAGAACTCAGTGTCTAAGAAAAGTTAAATATTACATAAGATAAATAAAATTATATTTTAAATAGAAATGTCAGGTTTCTGAAAAGCATGTTCATCTCTATGAATGTACTTTTATTATTTCTAGCACTGTGATTCTATAATTTCTATAACTTATGACATGGAGAAAATGTCTTGAATGAAAAAATCTGCCAGTGCAGGTAATAATTTCTTTTATTAATATTAAGGAATTATTGACCAAAAACAAGCTCCTATATCTTGCTGAAAATGAACTTGGAATCTAGTTTTGTCTTATTTCAAGTGTACAACGATATTTGAACTAGAGACTAGACCAACACGGTGATATTTAGTGTTTTTCAATGTATATCCCTAAATTTGAACATATTTATTGCTAAAGCTAATTTGTATGGCAGATTATTTTACATAACATATTTTCCCATGACATAAGTGAATTAATCTGCCAGAGGAACTACTTTTTTTACTCAATATTAAGGAATTATTGACTTCAAACAAGCTCCTAAATTTGACTGAAATGTTATTTGTAAGTTAGTTTTGTTTTATTTTAAGAGTACTAACAAAAATACTTGGTAAGATTTTGTGTTTTTACTGTGATGAATGAATTTCACTTTCTGATTTTCTACATGTATCTGTAAATTTGTATATTTGAAAAACTATGAATCAATCAAATAATTCAGACACACAGGCTGCTTTCTTTTTAATTTAAGTTTCAACATTTTATTTATTTGTTGTTTCATTTTGCTTCAAAGAAGCTGAACTGTGAAGTCCCACTGGGACAAAACTTCTGCAGTAAAAAACCACCAGTCTCATGATGAAAATCAATGCAAACAAATAAGATAAATAATTCAAACAAATATTATTATTACATAACAAAAGTACACACAATAGCTTTTTTTTGATGAAACATCATCAGTTGTAGAATCGGGTATTTAATACCCTCCACTAGCTGCACTATGCAGAGCTTCACACTAGTTATAAGAGAGACCAACCCATTGTAACTTGGATAAATAAATAGATAATAAATATGTCCTCAGAACCTCATAGAGGTGGTGCCACCATGAGCTCCAAGTCCGCAGGAGTTGCTGGGATTGGGGGTCACTGCGACGAGGACGGCTTGACGCAGGTGCAGCCCACAGTCACCTCTCGTCTCTCCAGCTTCAGCTTGTAACCGCCTTTCTGACATTTTTCCCTCTTCACGAACATCCAGGAGCTCTTCAGCGTAACTGAGTTGTAGCTCTTGTCCTCTATCAATGTGCCAGTGTCGTTCGCCATGATGCAACCCTCGCAAAGGCACACAACCTGGGAGTATGTTTGGGGGTAGTACTCAGGGTCCCGTACTGTCCTGTGGATGGAGGAAGACGAGTCCGTCAGACTTAAACACAAACTTTAAAGGGTGAACTTGATATTTATTTCATTCTTAAAGCTACTCTTAAAGCAGTATTTAACTTTTATAAAGAATATGTTCTTTACAACTTTGCTGTCGGTTAAATTTGTTGGACGCTTACTATCAAGGTACTGTAAACATAAGGTATTAATATAGCATAACTCATGATGATTTAAAGCAAAATACACAATACACTGCAAAACCACAACATCTTACCAGGCATAAACTAAACCAAAAATACAAATAAGTGTATTCAAAATAGTGCAAATATTTTTAATACACTTGAAATAAGACAAAACTAACTTTTCAGCAGGAGTCAAGAATGAAATTAATACTTTTACTCCAGTTATTAATGTAAAGATAAATATAGAAAAGTGCAGAGTTTTGGGGGCATAAGAGAAAGATCTGCCCATGGACATTTTTAATGCAAAGAACGCCCCTGAAGAATAAAACAGCCAGTTAAAGTTAAACCTGAACTCTGAATCCTCAATAATAGTGAGAAGCACATTTATCTATCAATTAGGATGATATATAAACTAATAAAGTAGGACAATTTGTCTTTTTTTGTTGTTCCTTTAAGACGTTAAGTAACAATTGATTCATTGTCAGAGCAGTGATGCAATAAATAATAATAATAATAATAATAATAATAATAATAATAATAATAATAATAATAATAATAATAATAATAATAATTCTTCTTCTTCTTCTTCTTCTTCTTCTTCTTCTTTTTCTTCTTCTCCTTATTATTATCATTATTACAATTTAATGCAATTATGCGAGCTAAAAGGAAGTTTATCTTATTTTAATCTGAGGGATGTAAAAGAAAGAAAAAAGAAAAGAAAAGAAAAAAGGCACAAATAGAGAAATTAAAGATCGTATCAGCGTGGAAGTGGGAATTTTGCTGAGTTAAAGTCTAACTGGGAAATCATCTGGAGTTTCCATCAGTCTGTCAACATCCAGTTTGGATTTTCTTTTCTCTCTCTCTTTTTTTAAATCTCAATTAGCTTCTCTTTTGTTTCCTTCACAGTTACAATAAATAAGGATAAAAAGAGGAATATTTTGCGCTTTGTATTAAAGCCTGTACTCACTCGTATTTCCAGGGAGATATGGAGCGGACATTCAGGGGCCCGGAGGCCAGGCTCTTGAAGGACTCCACCGGGCAGCCAGAGGAAGAGATCGGAGACGGTGTCACGTCCGGGGGGAGTGAGAAGTTCTTCAGCTTCTTCTGCGCCTTCCCCATCAGTTCGGACTCACTATAGCAACGTGTCATTGTCACGGACACGACGCACAGCGCCAGGATGAAGATCTGTAGAGAGGAGAGGGAGGGTGAGGATGATGATCATGGAGGAGGACGAAGATGATGATGATGGAGACGGAAGGGGTGAGAGATTCCCATCACTCACCTGAGCTAGTTCCATGTCCTTTTGCAGACTTTTACTCAAGTAGATGCTTCAATCTCTGTGATAAATCCTGGTTGTAATCTGCGCTCGGACTCTCAGCTTAAATCTGCACCGCGCTCCGCCTTGCTTGCACCTGATTGGACGGGAGGAGGGAAAAGCGGAGGGGGAAACACCGGCAGCATGAGGAAATGGAAACGCTCCCAGACTTCCTCTTTCCCAAATGAACCAAGAAAGGGGGGAGGAGAGGAAGAAACACGCGCAAATTAAAAATAAAAACAAGCCGGTCCAGGTAACCGGAAGTTGGCCCCCATCTGACCTGGAATGGCGATGACCTCACCTGCTGCTGCAGCTGGTTTTATACAGTCAAATATGTCTGCAAGTGTAGCAAATGATGATGATAAAATCAAATGAAGACGAATTAGCAATACCAATGTACAAAATCTTACCAAGTATCTTTGGTTAAGTTAGTGCAAATATCTTCATAAACTTGAAATAAGACAAAACTAACTTACGGGTAGCTTTTAGGAAAAGATAGCAGCTTAATGTTGATGGAAAATTACTAGTTTCACTGGCAGATTATTTGACTACTATGGAAAAAATGAATAATCTGCCAGTGCAACTGATACTTTGCTATCAATATTTTGTGGGTTTTCACTTAAGTCAATAAGTTCTTAACATTGCTGGAAAAGAACTGGTTTATCTGATTCACTTATGAGAAAGTTTAGTTATCAGTGAAATACTTCTTTTTAAGATCAATATTAAAGAGTTATTGACATAAAGAAACTAATATATCTTGCTGAAAAGTTACATGTAAATTAATTTTGTCTTATTTCAACAGTACTAAGATATTTGCACAAGAAACTAGACCTAAAATACTTGGTAAGTTTTTGCAGTTCCTGCCTTAAAGCTCAAGTTTCTACACTGAAAAAAGTAAGCTATAGAATTTACCTAATAAATCTGAGGTAATAATTTGCATTGACTCTTTTGGGGTAAATTCAGTACAATATATTGAGTATAAAATAACTGAACAAAAAATATATGAAATACTTAAAGAAATTGGGTAAAATTTACCTCATATTTATGTATATATTCAACAGCTACTTACTCAGTTAAATTAGGTAAAACTATGTCTTGTTTGCTAGTAGGTAATACCTGATGATTACAAATAAAAGTTAATTAAAATCAGTTAATAACCATTACTTATTCTGAGAAGGTAAGACTTACCCCCAAAAAAGACATTCAGATCATCCATAAAGTCATCAAAAACAGAAGCACAGAATAAATTGCAGCACAACAGTGTCACAGAACATTACAAATAATGAACCTGCGTTATAACCTAACAACTTCAAATGTTGTTTCAGTAATGTTGGACAATAAAACATATTCCTGTTTTAGGACATCCAGACTGCTCAATAAGAAAGGAGTAGATCAGAGAAAAGGAGAAGTGAGGAGAGAAGAGAAAATGAAAGAAGTGAGGTGATCAGAGCAGAGGTGCTAGGGATGTCCAGTCACATGAAGATTTTCTTGTATCTAAACTCTTACTTGTGTTTCTTCAGCCTCATACAACAGTGACTGAGCAAATCAGCAATCTGCAGGTGTATTTATACACAACAAATAACTGAACTGCCTTGTTTATATGCAGCAATGAAACACTAAATTATCAAAAAAATGAATAAAGTGCAGTACAACAGCTTCACACAACATTTCAATGAATAAACCCGTTTTATAACTCACTAAGCTAACATTTCCCCTCTTATTCCAAGAGGGGAAATGTATGTCTATTGCCATACATTAGACATACTTCAGTGGTTTTGCCCCATCAAGTTCCAAAAAAAGTTTTTGAAAAGCTTCAAATGTGTTCTTGAGCTGCAAAAATCAATTAAATTTTATATGATTATTTTATATCATATTTACCACTCTCCAAAATCACTTTTTTCAGTGAACATTTTCACATTTTCATTATTTATTTTATTCGAGACAAAGATGTTGATGTTTCACACTGATGTTTGATGCAACTCCAAACATTCAAAATCCTATTTAATATCTAAATATATCACACTCAAAGTGAGATATTTCAAACATGTCATTATGAATAACATGTCGTAGTGCAAACCAGCATTTTATCTGGTCTCAAAGATTCTTTTGTTATTAGACATTTAGTTATGTTTTTGTCTCTTCAATGGATTTCATTGATGGACAAACCTTCATCTTCTTGGAAAAAAGGAACATTACATAATATTACAACTTTTTCTTCAAAATTTCTTCCTTCTGCTTAACTTTCCACTAATTTCCCTTGATAAAGCACAGCCAGTTTCCTCAGCAGTAACATTTCGTCACCACAATGTTCTGAACACAAAGTTTCTGTTTTAAAAACCATTTTTATTATTAGTCTTAATTTATTCTTCACCTTTTTTAAAAGACAAACATAACTTTAGCTTTTTATTAGATTTTAACCATTAAAAAAATAACAGAACTAAATGTGTGCAATTGGCCCCTAATGAGATTCTGTTTGGGACCACAGATAATTTTGGACCAGCCCTGAGCGTGTTAATAAGAGAAAAAACTAAAATAACTTCCAACTGGAGTAAATGATCTTAATTTCCACTTTCTCTCCATTTTTATCTCACATTGTGTGTATGGCGTTGTACTGTCTCTTTAAAATCTTTAAAACGAGATATAATTGAGATTTTTATTTGAAACAGGAAGAGATAGTTTATGTTCCCCATTTTATTGAACAAATCTTCCCTGACATTGTAAGGTAACCAGATCCGCCGTGCTGTTTGGACAGACCATGGGGAAAAAAGGGAAAATTATGTAAATTTATTGTTTTCAGGAAATAACCCTGCAAGAAATAGTACAAAAATAAAGACTGCCATGTTGTGCTGTGTTTTTGTGAGTTTATTTATTTATTTTTTAAAGTTTTTGTTACTTGGAAGTACTTTTATCTGTGAATATTTTTTAGAAAGAAGAAATAAGGGCAAATCTGATAAAGGCTGAAGTTCATTAAAATGAGCAGCAGGGGGCGCTGATAAGACCAGCTAAAAAGTTACTAACTCAAACAGAAGATTTTAAACGGGTTTAAAACTAAAGTTTTTGAAACAGAAAGTTTTCCTGATGTGAAAAGTCGAACATTTTCTCTCGTTTCAGTTTTTTTTTTTCGTCACTGTTAGGCGCCAGCAGGGAGCTGCTGCTGGATTTCCGACTTTTTCATGGCGTTGATGATGATGAAATCCTTCATACCTGACGTGCAGAAACGTAAAGCAGACGTATCCAGGTCTTGCTCAACTTGTTTAAGTTTTGCTTTTTATTTTTTGTAGGTGTTGTAGGGCAAAGGTCAGCAGAGCCGCACGAGCTGCGTGAGTCGATGAGGAAACAACGATGCGGGACTGAATGCTGCCAGGACCAAACAAAAGAAATCTGGAAAGTTTTATCTGAAGCTGTTGGACACTTAGGATGAGATCATAAAAAAGCGCTTCTGAAACTTGAATTACAGCTCAGTTCTCCTCAGCTCCTCCTCTGGTGATGCAACGCTGCTCGTCCCAAAATAGCACCATATATAATTTTAGTCTGCAGCAGAAATTCCAGCATCTTGTTCAGAGCAGCTGCCAAGTAAGTCATCAGAGCAAGTGCGAAGATCATCCGATCCCGAGAGTCTTCACGTCCCTTTGTCGCGTCTGGAGCTGCAACAACACGCGGACACACCCAGGGTGACATCCTGTGTTTCAAAATCAATGCAGGAAATCTGACACTGAGTCACTATACCGAAAAGTTTGATAGGACAAAGAAGTAAGAAAGAAAGAACACAATA